CAGACAGGATGTCAGTCTCCATTAGTGTTGAGGATTTTTCACTGCCTCTTTCTGTAGGTTACGTCTTTGTGCCAATAAGTGGAGACAAGTGATTGTCTTTATGTCTTTATTAAATTATGTCTTGATTTTGACTGAGAGTCATTGAATTATTAATTCAACCAAAAAAAAAAATTGCGGGAAAATTCAAATTAACTTCTTATTTATTGTACTCTTATATAAAAACAATATCACATTCTCAATCATGCTGTTGGTCTGCAAGAGGTTGCAACAAACCTCTTAAGTTAAGAAAACCTTTAGTGATAATTCATTTATACTTTATACAACATTCTTACTCATGTGATATTGCTTAATTTTTCTCATGTTTTAGTCTCTTTGGTAAAACCCAAAACTCAAAAAATGGCACTTGGACAAATGACAATTAACCAGTAGCGAACCGTGACTTTTGAACCTTGGCCCTCTACCCCTACCCTCGTCGGAACAGACTACCAGCCTAGCTTACAGAGTCTAATTCTAAAAGTCATTTTTGACAATTCCACCTTTGAAACAAGAGGCTATTCCAGCCTTAATGTGGTCACATACCGGACGAGAAGCGCAGTGCTGCGCCACACCATGTCTTTATTATTCAAACACATTGTTTTCTACATGCGCACCACCGGCCTCCGTGCTTTGACTACAATAGACCGCACTTTCTCATTCTGTTTGCTCTGTTTTTTTTTTAATCACCGAACTCCAAACTAATTGACAGCACTTGCTCATTCTTGAAGTGAATGTTTGACTGTTTGGAGAGTAGATTAAAGGTTTTGGACTGCCATCTCGAACTGAACACGACTCGTCCGGTGTGCGTTAAGTTGCCCTAGAGTCACGCATCGCACGGTGGCAGGGCTGCGCTTCTCGTCCGGTGTGCGACTGCCTTTCAGAAATGCAACAAGAAAACTGCGCAGCGAGAGTTACTGATATCACCAAAATAAAACATAGCTAAATTTAAGTCAAATAAAAATCCTCATTACAAATGCATGATCACACAATCGGTCTGTGCACAAAACCAACAAATGTAATGTTTAATGTAAGCCAACACATCATGAAAGCGCTCACAGCAAAACAACTTGGCGACAGACACTTCATTACAAACAAGCAGTGTTTATATTAAATAACATTATTATTGGCACAGCGGCCCAGTAAACGTCCTCACTTTCGTTATTTGCGGCTTCCATCGTGACGTGAATAATAGCTAGTTAGTTTATGAGCGTATAAATTTTTTTTCGATAGAGATCCCACAGGGTGCGGAACTTGTCATAAAGTTAGTGATAACAAGGCCCGCCCATTTAGAGGAAAGATATGATTGGTCAGTTTTTCTGTCATTTAAAATGACGCTCCCATTGATTTACTATTGCTTGGCCCGCTGTAATTTCACAGCTGGACCACCAATCACAGAGCCGCAGACGCTAGGCGGAAACATTCTAATATGGAGAAAATGGGCGGAGTTCATGTAACACATTTTCTGAATAGGCAGATTTGAAGAGTTTATTTCCACAGAAATTGTATTTATTTTATTTAGATGATGACTGTGAAATTATGAATTGCTTAAATAAAATTGGAAATGATGACTTTTTATTTAAAAAAATATAAAAAAATGGTAAATATTGTTTTTACAATAGTTTAGGCCCTCTCTGAGTTCCCCATTAAATTAACAAATGACAATTAATGGAATTTTACACAGTTAGCTGCTTTGTGTTGCATCAGCATATTTTAATTTTAAAAGCCTCAGAAAGCCGCTCACCATGTCTTTCTCTATCCCTGTATACCTGTCAAGTCGTGGCCAATTTTATCTGATGTTCTTGGATTCAAATGCTCTGTGTCCCAGCATGTGCTGGAAATTCACACAGGCCGTGTTGCACTACTTTCTCTCTCTCTCTTTTCGACTGAAGTTCTCTTGCCCGTGAAGCACAGAATAATGTAATTCAAACAGTTGGGCGTATAGGGCGGCCCCCTCGCTGGGCCAACCCGGGCCCAAACAGCGCCTGCAGGATGATCACACGCCGCTGTCCGCCACAATAAAACCACCGCTTTACTTATTGAGTAGGGAACAACATGCTGCATGGGGATCTGGAGATGAAGAATGAGAAAAGATACACACACACACATTTTTAGCTGGATGGATGAATCGAAAGGAATTTAAAGATTCTGGTATGATTCCTATTAACGATTCTGGTTCCTTAACAGTTCCATGATTTTTAAATGATTTTTTTTCTATGTTTTTTTTAGGAAATATTTGAAAATAGTCAAATATTTTTAATATAATAATTAATAATAATAATTTTTTGTATTGCATATATTGCGCTCAACGATGTTAGTTTAGACATTAATGGACCAGATATGTAATAAATAAGACACAGACTTATTTAACTGTAAATTATATAAAAATATTAAATGAAAAGTATGGTAACATTTCATTTATTCATATTTATTACAAGTAACTACAGTGATTCAGGTCTCACAAACCTCTATATACACACAAAACTTCTTGGTTAATTTTGAGTTGGACAACATGAAAGTAATAAGTTGTGGTTCAGTAAATCAGTCAGATTATTCAGTAACTGCTCCACCGGGTTAATAATAATGTTTGATTAACTAAAACTAACCGACATTCGGTATTCATCAAACTACACTGGTCAAGTGGTCAATTAACCACCCCATAATAATAATTTGTTTGCAAATCAAACTAGACTGGTCGACATATGTGTTTGATTTGCCAAACGAACCAGCTCATAGGAGACATTTCTTAGAGAAGCAGGTAATACTGGTTTAGTTATATGTGTTTGATTCACCAAAACAAACCAGCTCAAACTGGCTCATAAGAGTCATTTGTTAGTGAATCAGACTACACTGGTTGAGCTACATGTGTTTGATTCGCTAAAATGAACCGGCTCATTAGACTCATTAATTTGGAAATCAGAGAACACCATGTTTCGCAATGTGGATTCAGTAGATTCAGTGAACAGCATTGACGTAAACACTATTAGTGTTTTAGCTATTTTTATTAATAACTCTTGACAGTTGATTTTGGTATTTGTTTTTTAAAAAGAAACCGGTTCTCGGTTCCCAAGCATAGTTTCAGCACACATTTTCTCCCTCACATTCCTCACAAACCCACTCAGAGGGCTTCAAACAGGAGTGCATGGGTGGATACTGCTGGGGGTCTTGTGATTAAACCCAGAAACACCAACTGAGACACTCACACCTACGTGCACGTAAATGCAAACACACATTCACACATTCACAAACACCTACTTGTTTACACAGGGGGCCAATACCTCTCGCGGCTTTGCCAACAGCCTGAAGATCGAGTGAAATCAATGGTATCATTTGATTGCATCAGCAATGTTTTGTCGCTTTCGTGACCTACGGCTGTGAATTCTCCTGGAAAATTATTTCGAAAGGGGCTGTCCCTTATTTTATCTGTGCACTATTCATTTACACTGTCTGCTCTTGGGGAAAGAACCTAATTATTTCCTTATAAATGACCCTGTAAACAGGAGGGGGATGAACTCTGTCATTTCCTTGTGACAAATGCATATAAGTATTTATGTTTGAGTGTAGGATTTCAGCTATACAGTGCGTGAAAGACGCTTTAGTCAGTCTGCAGTGAGTCTGACTGGAGAAGGAAACGGCAGACCCGGTTGTGCGTAGGAGTGATGAGACAGTGGAAGCCCTGGCACAGAGACCCTGTCTTATACGCTCTTCTTCCTTTATTTCCCTATTTCCTCCCTCTCCTCCTTGAGTGGGCTCACAGGGAACCGGGCTCAATGTTATGGATTTGAGCTGTCTTCTTTGTGCCTGCCCCCTCTTTCTCTCTATCATTCGATGTGTTTCTCTCTCTGGGCTGGACGGTGTCCCGGAGGAATTTGGCTACACAGATGTGGTGTTGAAGAGGAGGGATGTGCTTGTCTCAAATCCCCATGCGAAAACACATAATTTCCCTATATATGGCAATTAGACATGTTACACATTACAGACCTTCTATCAGACACTAAATGTGTGACAATGTTGTGTGCTTTAGATCTGTTGCTGCTTTGTTTGCCAGAATTAGGGTTGCAACTAATGATTAATTTGGTAACTGATAATCCAATGATTATCCTGTAATTTTACTTTAATACATACCTATGCATAAACAATAAATGTATTGTTATGTATATATATTTAATTTTCAGTATTTTAATATTTTACTCTTGGCATACTGTATATATTTGTCACCACAGGAATAAATTACCTTTTAAAATATATTAAAAGAGAAAATAGTTACTTTAAATTGTAATAATACTTCACAGTATTACTGTTTTTATTGTAGTTTTGATCAAATACAGCCTTGGTGAGCATAAAACAACAAAGATCATCTTTTAAAAAGCATCTTTCAAAAACATTTACAAATTTCATTTAATTGAATTTAAAATCTGAATTTGTCTTTATCACTACACATTTGAGGCTTCCATATTCCAATTCAGTCATGCAATTTTTATTTCGTGACTAGTTTTAATGTTTCTCCCATCCTCGCAGCCTTGACAATATTTGTTTTTATCAGTATAGTTTTGGCTAGTCAGCTAGCTGTACATTATCTTATAATATCAAGTTTATCTTGGGTAAACCTTTGGAACTTCCTGTTTGAATATTGTTGCTTAGAATATGGTGAATTAGGGTAATTATGGTCATGTTGGGTTACATGAGGCTGACCTTGGCTAACCTGATCAAAGTAAATTGCAGAAGCCGAAAGTACAGCAGTGTCCCAGATTTTCATAATGCACTCTATTATGCAGTTATCTTTTTTTGTGCAGTTATGTTCACAAACTTTTGAGCCTAGTTGCTCCATTTACTGTCTCTGTTTTTTTTCTCATTACAGTGGAACAATGGAGATAGTGACTTCTAATTGACTATGTTTGTATGTTTGTAATCATTTTAGCTCTTTGCTTGTTCCTAATCTACTTTCTTTTCCTCTCTTTTTCTTTCAGGATGCCTTCGTGGAGTTGTACAGTCAGCAGAGAGACTCAGTGTTCCACCCATTTTCGTACCTAACTAAAGTACTTGGATTGGCAGTGCTCGGCTTGGCAGGAGTGACCATCGGAGCCTTTTTCGCTCAGAAGTGACGGCTCTACAGGTCTCTTCACCAAACTATCTCTCTTTCTCTGACTGTCTCTCCTCTTCAGCTTATCAAAGCATCTTTCAGCGCCGCACTGCCCTGCTAAGCCCAGCACCAGTGCCCTTCAAAGGCTGCCGCTGATCCGGCGCCCCTCCAGCCACAGGCTCGCTGGAGTGAAGAAAACACGAAGAAAAAGAATACAGAATACAGAATGAGGACTCACAGGAACGCTCCCACACTTTGACTATAATGCTCGTCACTGCCATGTACAGTTGCACTCGCACGGAGATCGACACACAAAGCACGTGCACACACAGACACTTGCTCGCATACTTCATATGCAGTGGGTTAAGAACTGTTTTTTGTTTCTTTGTTTGTTTTTTTGAGTAAAGACAATGCTGTACTTTTATTTTGGTCGCATACTTTTTATGGAGGAAAAAAAAAAAAAAAAAAAACATTTTATCTTTAAAGTTTGTTTCTCATGTATGAAACAAGTACAAAGAGATTTTTAAACTTCAGATTGTGCTTTTTGGACATTTTGATATCAGGTTTTTTTGGCATTTTGTAGCATGAATCAAAAAAAAAAAAGAGAGAGGAAAATAAGAACGTTTGCCGGCATGAATGTAAATGACTTCTCCACTATCTGCATGTGTGGAGAAAGAGACTCTTTTAGCTACTTTTTTATTGCATGATGGCATTTTTAACTCGACCACCTACCCCTTCTGTGTTGATTCGGGGTGTTTTTAGTTTTTGTTTTTGTTTATTTCTCTTTCACTCCATTGGATGGACCTCTTGAGATCTCCCGTCAAACCAACAGATGTTGAGCATTCCTCATTAAAAAGTTCCTCTTTGATTTGCTCTGTGTTTTACTGTTTGGTGAGCACAAAGAATGTGCCGACAACCAAACCAAAGCAGCTATCATGATGTAATTGGGTCATGGAGTTGAATGACCCAGATCGCCCCTCTTGAATGTAAAGACTGGAAGTTTGACCTCTGAAAGGTTTCCCATTGTATATTGTTATACACATGCATTTTTTTTGTATATAATTTTGTTTTGGTTTGATTTCTGCTAAATGTGTTAAAAGAGCAATTTCAAGGGTATTGTGTACGTATAATGTCCGTGTACATGTAGTGTGAGTGTGTGTATATCTGTAAATAGATTGTGTTGAGAGCTGGACTTGGCTGTGTTCTGGTGGAGAACGCGGGCAGCCCGCCACTTCTGTCCAGCCCAGCCAGGTGTGTGTGCGTCTGTAGATGAAACAGGCAGGTGGTAGCTGGGAACAGAAGTTCATTCAGGCTGGCATGATAGGCGGACTTGGCTGTGTTCTGGTGGAGAGCGCGGCCACCCCGCCACTTCTGTCCAGCCCAGCCAGGTGTGTGTGCGTCTGTAGATGAAACAGGCAGGTGGTAGCTGGGAACAGAAGTTCATTCAGGCTGGCATGATAGGCATGCAGGCCAGCAGGGCTTTGAAGGGACTTTGTACACAACGGACTATGTAATACACGGTCCAGGTGTATCACTTATCCCTCCTCACTGCTCCCAATGTTATCTTTCTGGCACGGTAGATTACAGACGCCTTGTGAGCTGTACATTTTTAGATGCCCCCACAACCAAATAAATCCAATCCGTCTGCTGTAACTTCCGCCCCAGAGAGGGTCTCATCTAGTGCTACCCCACAACTTCCACGTTATATTCCACTGGGAGAGTAGATTTCTCATTCAAAGGAAGATACTGAGACACTAGCTTGTCCTAATGTCTTTTTTCCCCTCAGATGTTCATTAAAGTCGCTGATATAGATTTAGCGCTCTGCATCTCCCTGTCAGGGCAAAAGCCCACTGAGACCAAACAGACTATGGCTAACAATATTTCAATATCTTCAGTGTTTAGTAAATTTTGTTTTGAATGTCTGTAATATTTGAGCCATATGCTGAAATCTTGCAAAAACAGAATAATTTATATAGACCACAAGGTTGTGCAAAAGTTGACATTGGAATTGTCACCCTTTCAGTTCACAAGTGTGAATTTGATTTGAATTAGCCACACCCCAGAGGAAACTGAATTGGAATTTGACTTGGAATGACAGGAAGGGGAATCTGCTAAATTGCTAAATTTTCCTTTTTCTTATTAAAAAATAAATTAAAATTCAGAAATTAAATTTAAAAACTTTCTCAATTCCATTACCAATTTCGCACAACCCTGATACAGTGTCTACAGACTTCAATAAAGTGGATGGCATATGTAATGTGGCGTGAACGAAAAAGAGGCTGTGAAGGATGAAAGAAAATGGTTATATGTCTAATTTACTTAATTTTTTGTCCAATAAACATTTGTGGAAAGACATATTTCAGTATTTTGTTGGCCAAACAGTCCTTGGTATACAAGAGTACAACATAAACAAACTGTACTCCTTTCCCTCACAGTCTCATTTTCATTCAAGTCAATACTCTAACTAAGGATCCAAATCAGGATCGACTTTATCTAGTCTATCAACACAATTCTCTCGAGTGTGTAGCGGTACAGATTAATCATTCGCTATCTAATAGTGTACTATATTGCTGCACCCTTTACCGGGTGGTGCAGGACTGTATCAGAATATGTTAAAGCGAGTTTTAAAGACTCACACTGTAAGATCATTTTACTTTAGCTGCTAAAGATCTAGCAATGTAAGACGACAGGGTGTGGAGTTGAGCTTCTCCCTGTTGCTGCACCATATGAAGCTGCTTGTGGATGAACCAGCATATAACTGCCACTGCTGGAGCGGAACTAGTCCATCCACTCCTTAAGTCTCACTTTCCCTCTGGTTAGGAGAAGCTGAGAAGTCTATTACAATCAGACTCTAGATGCACCTACTTGAGAAAATCAAAGCGCACTTTTTCATTTTATAATACCGTCTTATTGCTCTTCTTCACGATAAATCCTGGACTCCTGCTCAAAATGATAAATTAATATAACGACAGCTAAAAAAACAAACAAAACCCAACAATAAGCCCGCGAAGCTGTTGTCGTTCCATCCTGACGAATGACAGCCATGACAGCTAAGTGGAATCCCGGAAAATAACCCGTGGAACTTTGACCAATGAGACAACAGTTTACTCGCTTGTGACTTGTATTAACAAATTTGGTCCGTTTAGAAACTTTGCCGTGTGAAAGCGAACCGCACCAAGAATAAAAAGCAACATTGTAATAATTTTAATCCCTGTTTCGGAACACAGCAATCGATCTACAGGTGTGAAAGCACCCTAAGAGGCCTTGTGTATTCGATTAAATAGCACCAATCTGTGATTTCTATTCATAAGCGATTTTCAAATTCGGTTTGCGTCAAATTCCTCTGCACCTTTTAAGACACAGTGCCTCTTCAACATCATGTGTAATCGAGCACTGATTGTTTAGCTGGGAAATTTTATTTGACATTTGACAAAAAAGAGACTAAGAAAGTGGAAGGTAAAGGATACAGGAAATTTATGCGCAATCTAGTGTATTAGTAGCATATTAGTAGTATGTGTGTTATGAGTCAAGTTACTCTTGTAGCGGTGTGTATACATTAAAAATCATTTGCTTGTAAGGGGCCATTCACACAGTATGCGTTTTTGTGTTTACATTTACATTTAATAATTTAGCAGACCCCTTTATCCAAAGTGACTTACAAATGAGGAGAACAATAGAAGCAATCAGACCAACAAGAGAGCAACAGCATACAAGTGATGTGACAAGTCTCAGTTAGTCTAGCACAGTACACATAGCAAGGTTTTTTTTTAAAAAACACAAAGTATAGAACTTTTTTTTATAATGTTATATAATGTGTGTGACACGAATGCAACGGTCAAATGCATCCCTCTAGTGCGTGTTTACATAGAAAAACAATAAAAAAAATAGCACAGTGCAATGCAAAAATGCATTCTGTGTGAATGCCCTTAAAACCGTGTCCTAACCATGATGGAGCAAATTCCCACTTCTTAAAGCTGCACATTAAAGCGTAAAGTAAAGTGTGACATTAACTAGACTGAATTTACTGTTTTTAAACAGGTTTCCCAAAGCCCCGCCTGGAGGCAAATCGATAGCCCAGCCCCCAAACACACCCCATTGGCTGAACCAGTGTTGCTGTTGTTGGCGGATTGAGATATTCAAACAAACAGATCAATGTTTTGAAAACACCACAGAGCTGCAGTGTTTCACTTTTTAGGGAACTCAGCCTATGAATGTCTTAATAATAATTGTTTTAACATTAAACAAGTGACACATTTCAGCTTTAAACATGAAACAGGTTCTGATTGGATCTGTCATTACACAGAATTTGCCTTTTTTTCTTTTTTTAAATGATGCTGGAAAAGTCATGTCTGGTTAGGACGCGGTGTGAGAGAGGGCAGGGAGAGTACAGTAGCTGAAACTGGGTTTAAGTCCAGTGTCAATATTAAATTACATTTAAAAGAATCTGTATCTTTTTTTAATATAAATTATCTTTTATCTCTTTGCAGGGGGGAAAAAATCTGAATTCTGAATATAAAAACAGGGATCAGCTCTGATAAGCTAAACCACACACTTTCAGAGTTGCTTGTACTTCTGCAAAAATGAAAAACTGCCTCTGTCAGTTCATTCCTCATTCATTCATTTTCGTCATACAGATGGAAAGAGGATGGGCCTCACGTTCATGAGCTCACGTTCTGTTTGATAAATATGGAAGTGAGATTTAAACTGCAGCACGAGGGGTTTTCCCTTCTTCCATCTGGATGGTGGTGTTCCGGTGATCTGTTAAGAGTAAAATTGCAGATACTGTCTCCATGGTTGCACTGGTTTGGTGTTTAACCATGTTATTTACATTTTGCATGAGTGCATTCTTTCATCTCCAGCTATACAACTTCATTTCGCTCAAGTTTCGGTGCAATTTTCATATTGTGTTCAATATAAATGACTCATTTTCATGTCTATTCTGAAATAAACCCCCACACCCCATCACATCAAATGGAAAAGATTATCAAAAATTTTTTTTTTCCTTTGGCAGCTACTATAATGCATTCATTTTACAATACCACTTTCCTTTGAGGAAAAAGAAATCGATTTTCTGCTCCGATTTCTTTGCTTTCTTTCTTTTTAATGACTTTGCTGCCATACCTTCTCTCATATATCACATAACTATTAAAATGTAGCAAAATATCCGGAGGATTTTAATATAGAGACAGGAGTTTATATTTGATTTCCAAATTCTTATTTTTCCACCATTATCCTGTTTGTCTTTCTATGTTGTACATTCTGTCTTGTAAGCCCTCAGCATGTAGCATTCAGAAGAAATTGTTCATGATTTTTATTTCTTGCTTTTTTGTTTGTTTAATTTATCCTCATAGCACTTGTGAGTTTTAAATGTGTCAATATCATTTTGTGTACGTATCCATGTTATAAGCTAACAGTTATGTGTCCTAATTAAATAAACCTTGCCTTATCGTCTGAGAAGAGCTGTCATGGTTTGCGTCACTGAGTTGGAAACTCCAATATGCTGCTACGGATTCTGTTACGTTCTGTTGTACTCCAAATTGAAGGCAGCTAGTGAAATCGTTTTAACAGGCCAGCTGTATATCCGGAGCATTTAAAGCTAGAAT